CGCCAACAAGCTCAACATAGAGGCGTTATGGCTGCTGTGCTCCATCCGGCTAACTGAAGGGTGAGGGTTCAAAAACGACGACCCTATCACAGCCAAGACTGCGAGCAAAACGTGAGACTTCCCAAGTCGATCACTTACTACCGGTAGACTGTCGTGAGTAGAAGTAGACGGATCGTCCAGAAACTGCATATCATCGATCGAATACAAACCCAATAGACGACGAATTTGGATAGTCTGAAAAAGTACAGCATCCGAATCATTAGAAAATCAAGAAATTATTCCTTCTAGATTAACTTCATAATTTTCAGAATTATGACAGTGTCATCTGTGTAGACTTACACTACTATTAACCACGCGTTTGATAATACTACTTCCAAGTGGTCAACTATCACTACACACATTCGACTTCAACGAGATCATGATCTAGGGTAAAGATGATAAAGGGTAAACTTTCCTCGTATCTTTGCTCGTCGTCGTCACTCGCCCGACCATTTTGATCCATACTGTTTTGTAGCAGCATAGCAATTAGAATTCTCTCGTATGGTTCTGTTGAACGATCACCTCGACAATTCCCTCAACACGGCTAACGAGCTCATTGAGAACAATGCCTCTAGTTCAAACGATAGACGCATACGAGTTGCCCTCCGCCCGTATTACCTGTGATGAGCATCCAGTGGCACTCTGCTGCGTATCGTCTCCCTCCACATCCATCGATGATCCCCCCAACGTACCTGTCGATTAGTTCATCCCAACATCCCTTCTACACCAACACTTACACAGAGTAAGATGGCCCAACCTATCGCTTAGTGTTACTGCACATAGAGGCTTCGTTGCGCTCATTCTAACTGAGCAGTGCTGAGGCTCGTTTAAGCAGTGACCAGTCTCAGCTACCACCGACACTGTACGAGTACCTACGCTCAGCTGCATGTAACGACTTGGGGAAGAATTGGGGTCCTCACTGGAGCCATCACTGCCAGTGGCCTCCTCCACCCCTGTGATATGAGAAGTACCGCCGTATAGTGGCGAGTAGCTGCACGTAGATCGCATCGCGTTGGCGTAGGGGTCGAAACACAGTAGCGACAACTGAGGCAATCAACCAGGGAAAGTCCAAAGATTCATTTCATGCCCACATCCCTCCTCACCTGGCCATCTCTGAATATCAACAGTACTTGATCCTGCTTCACAGCGATATCGTCCTGCTCATCAAGCACTGCTTGGGGACAGTGATAGACAACAGCATCGTGGCATCGCCCGGGGAGGAGGGTTTCACAAACGAACCTTAAGAGCATCATCGCTGCGACCAGGGACAGAATAATATCAATACGGAACAAAAAAGTGCAAAGTTGGAATATAGATCAGTTTTCCTCAACTGAGCTTGAGAGTTTCCTCACTAATTGTAGATATTCTCGCGTAAAAGTGTACGAAACCAACGAGAACTTCCCAAAATTTTCCCACCAACGTATGTGGTTGACCATGTGAAAATTTTTCCCATTCCACACTGTGAATACTAGCACCCATAAGAACTCCTAGACAGCGACAATGTTGAAGGAATACATGCTCCTTTTCCTCAGCTGAGCTCAGGAGTCTCTTCACTAATTATAGGAAGAGTTTACATACGAACATGAGTAGTAATGCATACAAGATCCAATGAGAATTTCACAAAATTTCCTCAGAATTTTCACATTGTTACCAACACATGTAGTTCACCATGTGCAAATTCTTCCCCATATGCACGCTGTACTCTATCGATAATGACAACCTCAGACGAGTACAAAAACCTTCGCTGTGCGCAAAGATACTACCTGAGTTCTCTATTAGAGGTAAGTCGATAGAGCCTAAGGAGGCATCCACCACATATAAGCATCAGGTCTTGCTCGTCGTCCCTGTCAGCAGCATCGTCGTGATCGGTAGCGATGAAGTGGCCTCTTAGTGCAAAGTCAACGGTGGTTCGAGAGGAGCATTCAGTGTAGACTTGATGAGACATTAAACCACGACTGCTACTACCATGATGATGATGATGATGAGATTGATACCGCACAGACCAACCCAATCTGGGGAAAATTGCCTGAAACGGTGAAGACTTTTATGAGAAAGAAAAGAAGCAGGTGAATTAATGACGAAGCCAAGAATAGATCCCACGACCTGCACTAAACAAACTCGTAACAGCACCACTACACCAAACAAGCTACGATAAAATATATTTTGAGGATGGTCCTCTCATGAGTAGTCTGCTCTCTTCTTCTATCGCGAAAAGTTGTGTGCTCATCGACATTCAGTGCGCCACCCCGGTTCGATCCCGGCACCGGACATTTTTCGGGAAATTTTCAATTAATATCTCTGCGACATCATCGCAAATGAATCGCACCTCGAAGCCTCTTTGCATTGTAATGAATCTCCACTTACTCCTTCTAGCCCTCATTCTAGTGTCACAAACCTCTGCCAAGTCCTCGGCTCCATTGGAATCATCTAACAATCACATCAAGGCTCATAATGCTGACCAGGATGCCACTGACGAGAGCGTGAAGGGTCTCAACTTGAACAAGGAAGATGATCCTGATGAAGCACAGGAGGGTTCTTCTGGGGAGTTCATGCTGGGTGACGCCACCAGCGATCATATTCATTATTACCTGTGATGAAGTCGCATGAAAACTGTTGTTGTATTCACGTGATACGAGCTTGCGTTTCAGTGATCGTGCCCATTGCTCTCTATCGAAGAGCTCTTTGCTGATCGTGGCTTGAACCTCATTTTCATGTAGTCCAATACCACACCTCCGACAATTGATCTCTCTGTCGTCTGTGGGGTACCGTGTTCAATTTCTGTCTGGGTTCACTTCCACTGCGCAGTTGCTTGCCTTCATGTCGACCACAGTCCCGCATCATCACTGGCAGCATCCACTGGAGACAGGGCCTCTCACAGTGTGTGGTAATAACGTATGTGGGGTAACACCTATGATCACCTCTAGCTCCTCTTGACCGGTCACGCACGCGGAGCGGTGTTTCATTTCTGCTACTTCAACGATAGTTTTCTCACCACAGTTCTCTATAATGTACATAAAATATTCTTTCAAAGCAGAAACGTACCCGTCAGCAATTTTTTCGCGTGTTATTCTACCACTCGCACAGGAATTTAACTAAAATTATACGTCTACTCTGTCTAGGATTCATCCCAAATGTAAAACGAATGTGAAGGTAATTATTCAAACTATGCATGAGAAAAGGAAAATACCTTCTCGCGTTGGAGAAATAAAGTTTTTACTACAAAAAATGGCCCCCGCAGTGGTAGACTTGGGCCTACAGGTACGCGGCCGGCGTTGCTGGAGCCACTCGTGGTTGCCATCACCAATGCTGTCAACGAGACTCTCGTCACGGAGCAGGACTTGGCTGATTTAGAGGTTCTGTTGGAGATCTCAACTGCAATATAGCAACGTCTTGTGTACTTAGATTGAGGCTCGACTCGGTTTCCTGGCACCTCATCGGGACTCCTACCATAGAGTGCTACTGCCCATCACGTCGGAATGTATATTGCAAGAGCCTGATCACGGCAAGAACTGGCGGTAGGGATATCCGCTGTTCGAGGGGCTGACGGCTGAGGTCATCAGGTATGAATTCCAGGCGTCTGTGATGAGAGAACAGTTCTTTGCGATACAGAAGCATCTGGAGAAGCTCGTAGCGGGGACTCCTGGGCAGGTCCAGGGACATGTACTAATGGGGGGGAAGGACTGGGAATTGTACTTGTTGGAGAGTAATGAGATTCTTGCACGGGCTGCACGGTGCTTTGTATTGATCGGAGGTGTTGTAAATGGGTGTAATTTAGTGGAATAGGGAGTAGCGTTGGTTTAGCATTCGTTAGGCCTCGGTTCAATTCCCACGTCCTTCATTTAATCAGGTTTTCCGAGTTAGAGATGTACGGCGGCAGGTCACCACAACTGATGAGTTCTTCGAATCTCCTAGGGACGGTCGAGTAGGCTCCTCCTCCTCGTCCTCGTCCTCTGTTTTTTACAACACTCCGGCTAGATACGGGCAAGCTACGACAGTGACAGCTACAGTTTAGGGGATCGAACACGACCTATTGAAATCATCAGGAAGGATCGTCTCAAGACTATTAACGTGTACTAGGGAGGCAAAGCTGGTCGTGGGTCTCCTTACAGTTTTGATAATAACAGACAATCATATCGGCAGTGTGTAGGTTCAGCGGACATTACGATCCGACGTATTGTGATGAGGAGAAGTACCCTTTGGATTTGCGTATATCAGTTAACAGAGAAAACAAATGTAAGTTTCACTTGAAAGCCGTGCCCATGCTTCTCCATTGTGTAACACTGGGACAGTCGTGTTCCTGGAATTATTCGAGATGGCGTGTTTACCTCCAGAGATGTATTAAATCGATTTTGGTCGTGTTCTTCTGTTCAGTCGGCTCGGTCCCTGCTGATGTGTCAAAGTGTAGCGGTAAACGTAACAAGACTCGGCATTCCTACATCTTCAAGGCGTGGCAGGTGGATCTTACTGAGGTCATAGCACAGGGAAAACAGGGCGAATGGTGAGCAGTGATGAGGGAACCTATAGTGTTTCTGGGAGGAACTCATTGTAAATTTTCCACGTATTACTAGGAGCACATTCTTCAATCAGTTTCTCATGTTAATGTCATCATCGCATTAGAAATTTTTTTATCATTGTTATCAAATCTTGGGGAATGTTATTTCTCAAACCTGGCTCATACCATAATTTTTGTACATCGTGGACTGGCAGGTCTAGCTATGAGGTGGAGGTGGAGCTGAAGAAGGACCTTATCGCGGAGCAGTTGAAGCGACAAAGGCTCGGGAAAAACCATGCGGTGTACGAGATTCTCACTGGTAGTCAGGAGAATAGCATTTAGAATTTCGTGGCGCGCGGTCATTTCTCAGACTTTATATACTGCGTACGTGATCTGGCGTGGATGTTCGGTGATGCGTACACTGCGAGTAGCGGTGCTGGTGGTCAGCAACAGTGGAATAAAAACGGCCAGCGGAAAAGGTGAATTATTGTATTTGGATCTCATACCATCTTTTCGTCAACTTTCAGAGTACGTGGTGACCTCAATTCCAACGATATTGATTTCACTATGTGGTTGGAGCCACAAGAGGTACCGTCTTATCACTTGAGCGTTTCCATCACTGTCGTCAGGTCCAGCAGAGGTACCTCAAGCGAGTGGCGCCGGTGTTTCCCATTATTGGTGATTATTGCTTTACTATCGCGGAGGAGATCCGTTCCCCGAAGCCAACGGCACCGGTCGTGCAAGAGGGGAATGAGGAAGAGTCTCAACCCTCTCGTAAGCTTAGTTGCGGGTTGTGTTGGATTGATGTTTTTTCATCAGAAGGCGGAGCGAAGCAGCTGGAGATCGAGCCAGATGAGACTGCAGTTACGAAGGAGGAAGTCTTGGGTGAGTCGGTCTAGCGTCTTTAGCCCCCCCCCCCCATGTGGTGGGCTCCACGACGCTTCAGTGTAGGGTCTGTTGGCCCGTGTACAGGACTCGTATTGATGCTTGTTTGTTTAGGACAAGCAGCCGTGGAGACCCTTCAAGAAGTGGAGATGGTAGATGCAGATGAGCAACCATTGAGTATGCCGGATGATGCTGAGCTCGAGGGGGCTATAACGATGGATGGGATAGAAGGGGAACAGCCTGAAGGTGGAGAAGCTCGAGATTCGAGTGGTGAGTTACTGTTGTTGTTGTTGTTGTTGTTGCTGTTGCTGATCCCGTTGTTGTTGTTGCTGTTGTTACTGATCCCGTTGTTGTTGTTGCTGTTGTTGATGATCCCGTTGTTGTTGTTGTTGTTATTGTTATTGTTATCGTTGGTATCGTTGTTGCTATCGTTGATGTTATTGTTGTTGGTATTTTTGTTGGTATTGTTGTTGTTATTGTTGTTGTTATTGTTGTTGTTTTTGTTGTTTGTATTTTTGTTGGTTTTGTTGTTGGTATTGTTGTTGGTATTGTTGTTGTTATTGTTGTTGTTGTTGTTGTTGTTGTTGTTGTTGTTGTTGGTATTGGTATTGTTGTTTTTATTGTTGTTATCGTTGTTGTTGTTGTTGTTGTTGTTGTTGTTGTTGTTGTTGTTGTTGTTGGTATTGTTGTTTTTATTGTTGTTATCGTTGTTGTTGTTGTTGTTGTAGTTGTTGGTATTGTTGTTTTTATCGTTGTTATCGTTGTTGTTGTTGTTGTTGTTGTTGTTGGTATTGTTGTTTTTATTGTTGTTATCGTTGTTGTTGTTGGTATTGTTGTTTTTATTGTTGTTTTTATTGTTGTTGTTGTTGTTGTTGGTATTGTTGTTTTTATTGTTGTTATCGTTGTTGTTGTTGTAGTTGTTGGTATTGTTGTTTTTATTGTTGTTATCGTTGTTGTTGACTTGATCCATTCTCGACGACGTGTATTCAGTGCTACCCCCTGTTGCAACGGCGGTCGAGCAGCAACCAATAGGGTCACCGGTGGCACCAGCAGTTGAAAAGGGCGACAGCAGTCCACTACTCACTGGCTTAGTCACAACGCCTTCCAAAGAGCCCACTGATGCACCAACTGTCGCAACTAGTACGGAGTTGAAAGCGAATGGCATGCAGGAAAATGATGGTGAGAAATACCCTCGCCTGGGATCGAACCCGCGACCTGTTGCTCGTATCTCAGAAGAAGGATCCTCAAGCTCGAGTTCGAGCGGATCGGACTCTGAGGGTTCTGAATCGGATAGTGACTCCTCATCCAGTGGCTCTGATTCTGGCAGTAGCAGCGGCAGTAGTAGCGAGAGTGAAGACGACGATGATGCTGATGATGGTGGTGCGAATGAAGACGAGCCTGGCATATGACGATAAGACCTGCATAGTGATTATTACTCCCATCACTGACCTTTTTTGTACCATAACCGTATCTTGGCTCTCTCTAGTCTTGAGTAGTGGTTATGCAAAGGGGTATCGATCGACTCGGCTACGAATAGCAATGCGCTATAGCGATGATAATTGTTACGATACGTTTGAGAATCACATGGAATCTGCTGAAGCTGGTGTGATGAGCTCTGGTGATACAGTAACCTCTAGTGCACATCATACGGCATGGGGAGGAGGGTGTAACGGATGGTCATCTTCACCTCTCACTGGTGTGATGCCATCTGGAGCAGCATTGACGATCTCATTGCATAGTAGCACGTTGCTCTTGTTTTGGGAAGTAAAGCTAGAGCTGCAGCTCTATGTGCCGTTTCCTTCCTTGTATAGAGTCTACTGAAATATGGTCGTGAATGTGAGCGCATCTACTCTCTATAGTGGGAAAATCTCCGACTGAATCACGCATCTGTCTCCGAGCGGGGGCTTCTTAATCGCGTTTGGAAAGTAGTGATCGTCCGTAGAAGGCTTCAGTGATTGACTTCCTTCCTAATTACCTGTGGCCCACGCCGCTGATACCCACAGGTGGTGGGTATCAGCGGCGTACGATAGCCTTCGAGTGCATACAGTGGTAACTAGGCGTTTAAGTGTAGTGAACAACCAACATCCAGCAAGAGCTCCATTACATGCGACTGAGACAATTTTTTAGGGATAATAGCACCGTTCCGCTGTGGAAGTATTTCGTGGTCCGGGAGTCCTCAATTTCGGCTAACGCACATGGAAGAGTTTTAATGATTCCTCGAAAATGTTGTTGTATTGAATGAATTCACAGCGGCATCATCGAACAACACTGCATGGTGTGTAAGGCCCATTGCATAAGCTCGCACTATGGCACACTCGAGGTGCTTTCAGGAACTCCTCTAAGATGACGTCAAGTTTTCGTCGCCAAACGACTACGACCGGGCGGTGCAGCTGCTAGAAGAATGCTCCGTGTGATTAACTTATCTCGTCACACCACAACTTTGTGTTATCTGTCACCTATCCGTGGGAAAAGATGGTACTTCGCTATAGCATTTGATGGCTTGGAATCATCAACGATCAACTCTCTGCTGCCTCTGTCGACTGCGGAGCTTCATCTTGTTAAGTGTGGGGGGTCTCTCGTGCACCATCCTGATCCTCATTTTTCGGCACTACTCTGAGTGGCATCTCCCACAGTCGAAGATTCGGAACAGAGCGGAGGTATCACCCATGGAAGAGATCACCGAAGATAAGCTCTGGAAACCCTTCATTGAGTCGTTGCGTGAAAGGCCTGATAACATGGACAAGCGCAGTTTTGCCAGTGCTCAGTCGGCAGAAGTCAAGATACAAATTGAGAAGTTGGCAAAAGTGCGGTATGACAATCATGCAAGCGTGTATAAAACTATTCAACAACAACGTTCACCAGAATCCAATCAACTGGTCATCTGTATGGGCGTTCGGGATAATGCGCGTCTCCATGCGCATTGGCGAGGTTGGCTCAGTCGAATGGTCTCTGGTGGTGTCTTCATATTCGGCCCAAGGAACCAGTTCCGCACACCCCCTGAGTACTTGCCGTCTGAAGTCGTCTTCGCGTCGTCTTCTATTTTCTTCGACAGTACCCCTCCGAGAGGCGCCAGCCTGTGGAACATTGCTACCATTATTCACTTTCTAGACTGCATTGCACATTTTCCAAACGCTTCCTTCTGGATCGTTGCTGATGACGACATATGGGTGAACGTTGACAATATGAAGGCTTATGTGGGACAACTCAACTCGAATGAAATCAGCATACTCGGTACGACTGCAGGAGACGCCTTAAATGTTTGGGGAGGAGCCGTGGGATACTCTCGAGCCTTCGTACAATGGCTAGTGTCTTCACCCAAGCACTTCAAGAGCTGCAGTGATGCGACGTACGAGTACAACAAGCGAAAGGCTGCTAGACCCTTGAAGAACTACTATTTACGGTTTGGGGTGCCAGTGGCTCCCTATCATCAGGACTGCTACCTGTCATTCTGTTCTATAAAAGTGTCTAAAGCGATGGTGCACAGGAGTGACCTTTTCTATTACGACAACCCAGTTAACGCAACAGCATTAACTCAGGAGTATTCCCCAGCTCTGTTGGAGCCGTACTTAGATCGAGCTATATCTGTACACCATTTGAGCGATGAAGACATTGAATATCTATCGTACCATGCTCCTCAAAGATAGCGTATCCAAGGCTTCAGCGTATAGATGATGAGTTCGAAAGAATCGCTCTTTTATTGCCAGTAATTTCTTGGCTTGGTCGGCTGATAACGATCGAGGTTAAAGCCGCGAAAGTGCATCAACCCGTCCATGGAAGGCCTGCAGCCTCATCACGGTCCACGAAGGGTCCTCGGATTAGAAACACGATTGGTGTGCTCTCTGCTGGTTAATAAATACGACCGGCTTATTCGGGAAGGGCAGCCTGTGAATTCTGACTCAGAATTTCTGAGGCGTGTGTGGCTGGTAGGTTTGGAGGTTAATGTCCGTACGTATGGCATTTTCCTGAGCGGCAACAGGTGAGGTCAAATAAGCCATCGTTAGATTTTTGGCTGTGGATGGGCATTTGAATCAAATGCCCGAAGTCTAGAGCCTAGGGGAAGATATTTTGCTCATTCCTTCCACGTACTCCCGCATAATCGCGAATCCCCAAGACACAGGCTTGCACTGCCTTTACACTTCCTCCAATAGACGACCCTATGGTTAATGGGCCGAACCCATGGTGAGAGGGTGAGAGAATCAGCTCCACGACTAAGCATGGGACTGGTACATAGCAAGCCCCGTATGTAAAATTCCTCGAGAGTACTTCGAGAGAGCTGCCCTGGTGCAGGCTTCTCTCCGAGAAGGCGTGCTGGAGAGCGCGAAAACCTCAGCGTGCGACATCTCTCTTGAGTTTCTTCTAGCTCGACATCAGTGTCTGTACAGTCGAAGCGATACGCGCGGCAGATGCATTCGTGACTATCTGTATGAAGGGGCACATCGAAGTGCTCCTCGCAGAACCGGCGGAGGGACTCGATGGACGAGTCCTGAGGCTTCGGGTTCGCGGGATTGTTCTTTTGATGGGTGTAAGGTTGGTTGTAAATCGATTCCTGGAGTTGGTTCAAGGTGAGTCCCGTGGGATCTACTTCTCTCGCAGTACTTTGATGACACTTTTTGGCTTCGCCCCAACCAAAGTGAGTCATTAGCGAGGTGCCTGGTTCTGGGATGTCCATGACTGGTGGACCACGAGGCTTGCCGGACAAGCCACTGGTGAGTGGAAGCCCGTCGTTAGAGCTCTACCGCGCCTGACCCAGGTTGTTCCGAGATCTGTAGCGAGCCACGGCTCATGGCGGCACGAAAGAGCTTAAGCGCTTTCGGTAACTCCTCGTTGATTTAGTAATGAGCTTTGCCACTAGAAGCATACCTTACCATGACTTTGCCAAGGTAAAGCAATGGATAAGACTAAGCTTCAGTCAAGTCGTGCTTGGAATTGTTCAACAATGCCAACCTGGAGGTATGCTAACTTGGCATACCTCCAGTAGCTGAAATAGGGTGAGTGACTCACCGTGAGTCGGATGAGAATCTATAAGACAGCATGCATGTGACATGTAGCATGTCGGATTGCGAGAATGCACTAGTAGGAGTGATTCTACTGGAAAGGCCCCAGCCTGCGACTCCCAGGCCGGCTCTCGGATACCTTCCGATTTTGAAGTCGGAGGATTTCCCAGAAATGGCGCCCGCTCAGAAAATGCCGATGATTCATCAGTTCCATTCAAATTCTCCTTCAAATTATGTACGTTGGAATGATTTCACCACCGGTGTTCTCGACGGAGCGAGGGAAAGAATTTAGTCGACGTTATGCTCTCGCGAGTCAGCTCCGGTGGGCAGCGAAGACATCTCCGAGATGGGTGGAGGAGAGTATAAAGAGCATCGAACAGGACCTTGATTGATCGTCGTTAACGTGACATGGTGGCGACTCGGTCGCGCGCTACGTAATTGCCGAGGCCGAGCTTGAGCGCAGCAGCTTGTTTCTTCGACGATGGGGAGTTTAGGAGCGGAAAGAACGGGAAGGACTGATTTGTATCGGGGAGGGTTCCCCAGGGAAGCGCAGTAGGTCATTCGTCAGGAGAGTTCTAAGGGCATAGCGCGAGCCACGCTCCGCTGTGAAGGGCTCATTGAAAATTGACTGTGTGAGCCGTACAGTTGTACAGTATGGCCATGCCAGTATGGAATGCCATTACTCGTGCTCGGAGGAAGCAATGGGACCGAGATGAATCAATCGGGAATCCATGACTTGTCCTTTTCAAGAACCTCAAAAGCCAAACGCGCGGCCAGTGGTTCAATCAACTCTAAGAGAAATAATTGGGATTGAGTGATGCTCGATCGCGTCTAGTTCCAACCCTACGCGGGAGCCTAGACCCTCGAGTCGAGATCAATCGGTTCGGTCGAACGAGCTCATCGATGTCGGTTGAGCACCGAGTCGAGGATCAGCAATGTTGATTCAACATCAGAGGAGTCACGTCCGGGAGAGATGCACACTGAATGGCACACAAGTGATTTGAATCGAATCACATTTGAATAATTTGATAATGTTCGACAGACACCCCTCGTCCCCTTGCAGAGGTCTCTCACCAGTCCTCGACATCCACCCAAAACATGCCTTGATGGAGAAACATGAATTGAGCTCCTTCAGAGGACGGGGGCTGATCAATAATATATTTGAGAAATAGGTAAGGGATTAATAATTCCGTAATCGAAGGAATTCTCACAGACACTACTACCTGGTGCCACCAGGGTCCAGTGGGTAGACGATAGTCACCATACCATTACGTAATGGCTGTGGAAAGCCCGGCCCAAATCGGAGTAGCAGTTCCATCAGCTTGGCAAGAATTTGAGAATCGACGTGGCCTACCCATGTGCACCGTCTAAATATCAACATTACTCTACACATGGTTGCATCAAAGTGTGTCATCGCCAGTGCAGAGCTCTACACACTATTGCTCCCGGTGCATCGTCGCTAGTGTGAAACATATTCATCTTGATGGTGTACGCGTAGTACCCTTGGGAAAGAGGAATAATGCAAGGGACGTACGCGAAGTACCCTTGGGTAAGGGGACTAATGCAAAAGACGTACGCGTAGTACCCTTGGGTAAGGGGACTAATGTAAAAGACGTACGCGTAGTACCCTTGGGTAAGGGGACTAATGCAAAAGACGTACGCGTAGTACCCTTGGGTAAGGGGACTAATGTAAAAGACGTACGCGTAGTACCCTTGAGTAAGGACGCTAAAGCAAGTGACGTACGCGAACGATTATCGCACGGCTTCCTAGCACCGTTCTCTCTCTTCCGCTAAGATACGGCAGCTAGTTTAGTCGTTTCATATATACATCGCAACCCGATCCAGCGGATCAGACTTAGAGTTTCTGGATGATATACAACTCAACTTGATGATATATAACGAAAACTCGTTAACAACCGACGTCCACCATGAACTGACTAATACGATTTAGAGACTGACTACATTGAGGACCCAAGAACAACTGTATAAGACAGTTTTATCAAGATTGGGGATGTGACCTATGATAAAGTATCAAGAGCCTTCATGCTCATTCCTTTTAGCAATAGAGGATATATCCATAGGATTCCCGAACGCCATCTAGCCACGTTTGAGCACATGAAACATTAGACAAAATATTGGACTGAGCGTCACACCCTCTGTAAACGGCTGATAATGATGATATGCACATGAAAGAAGCTTCATTGAAGGCAACTCATCCAAGTCCTCCTACTGGTGCTTCATGAACGATGAACCAACACTCTATCCGGGTTGGAATGGTTGTTCGGGGAGAAGTGAACTTCGTCCTTGCCGACATGGTATATATACAGAGCGTCGATATCCCATAGTGACGAACGAAGGTTTTTGTCTTTATTTCCAGGATAAATGGTAATAGTATCAGATGAAGTTGGAGATAGGACATACGACACCAAACCGGTTGAAGACCAAATCTCCTGGTACTTGGTGGAATCATAAATCATAACCATAGTCGAGTTAGCAGACTTTGAGATCCAAAAGTTGGTCTGGAAGTGATCAGGTTCTGGATCATCTGCATATGGTCCGTCGGGCCGCTTTTTGTCGCTCAGATCAGCATTGTGTGGAGCAATTGAACGACGGTTCTGCCTCTCCGCCGAAGGAGGAGGAGGAGAAGGAGGAGGTCCACAATTTCCATTGCCTCCCGATGGTATTGTGCAACCCGTAGCCGAGAGATTGTAGGTTTTATTCCCATCTTTCGTGAACATCCTGAGACCATCTTTCGTAACGTTCAGAGCGAAGCCAACTTTGAAGTAGGGGAACAATTCAGGTCCTTCAGTGTGGTTACTACGCTTCAAGATAACCTCATCACCTCTCATGCTCACATTGTTGTACTTCATACTGAGGATGTTGCTGTCAATAAAATTGTACGTCATGCGGGCCTTGGACTCTGATTCATAGTCGAAAATGATGCATGAATAGCTATCGCCAAATACGTCGTGCGAAATGAAGACCGTCGCACAATAGTTTCCTGGCTTGATGGGAACGCTTACGCATCTTGCAAGAGCAAAACTTGATGCGATGATGAGTAGAACGGATGATATCATCTTATATACTCACAACAACTGCAAAGACAGAGTACGAATACAAACGGCCTCTTCTACGCATACTATGATCCCTTCAGCAAAAAAAAGTTCGAGGATATTTGCATAGAACACGAACAAAGTCATCTTGCAATTAGTCAGAGACCCACTGCTGCAGATGGACCCCCGCCACAGACACGAGGATCCCCAGCAGGCACGCACAAGTTGTGCGGCACAACTATTATTAGGCGGAACCTTCACGACAGTGAGCAACAGCAGCAAAAGAGGAATCATACAGTTGCCAAACGCAACTCGGAGCGGTGACTCAGCATCTTAACTTAACGGCAATCCTTTCTTACTTCTCAGGCAGCCATCTCAGAATGCCTTGTCAAGGACCCGATACAAGATTAGCGATAGCTGGTGAAACGAAACAGCAGCACAAAAACGCCACTGTGTGTCATGGTAGGGGGATCACTCTATCAGCCGGCGGCTGACAGCCGCCCTGCTAGGATGCGATGCATCACCCGGATAATCCAACGCTTCTTCAACTAGTAGGTAGTAGTTGTAATTTACAACAACTACTACTTACTAGTTGTCAATGCGTGTGTCGGTGTTCAACATGACATAAGATGTGTAGAGGATCTATCCCA